TGTTGACCGTGGAGCCGAGCAAACTGAAGCTGTAAACGAACAATCTCAATTTCTTCACCATCCATCTTGATGCTGCCAATTGGTCTAGTGGTGAGAATCTTTGTCTTCTTGACATTGAGTCTCAATTCATATTGAAGGTTGCAGTCCCTGACCCTCTGCAGCAAGTGCTTCAGGTCCTCTCCAGTTTCAGCAAGCAGCGTTGTATCATCTGCATAACGCAGATTGTTGCTAGATCTTCCACCAATCTTGACCCCACATTTCTCCTCATAGAGCCCAGCCTCCCAGATAATCTGTTCTGCACATGGGTTGAAAAGGTATGGAAACAGGACACATCCCTTGTGTATGCCCTTCTCAATTTTGAACCATGCAGCGTTTCCTTGCTCTGTTCTGACAACTGCCTCTTGGTCTAAGTATAGGTTTCTCATTAGCACAATCAAGTGTTCTGGGATTCCCATTCTTCTCAGAAGGAAGCAGAAGGAAGAATTCAAGATACTAAAGAGTTAAATAGGAGATTTCAAAAGGCAGCATGGGATGACAAAGTAAAGTATTACAATGAAATGTCCAAGGAGTTTGAGTCAGAAAATCAAAAGGGCCGAACTCGCTCAGCATTTCTTAAGCTCAAGGAACTGAAGAACAAATTCAAACCTTGAGTTGCTATAATCAAGGATGCTTTAAGCAAGAATATTAAATGACCCAGGAATTATTAAAAGAAGATAGAAAGAATATACTGAGTCACTGTATCAAAAGGAATTGGCAGACACAGAAGAATTTCTTAAAACATGAGCAAGAGCTTATGGTGATGAAGAAGGAAGTTCAGGCTGCTTTAAAGGAAATGCCAAAAAATAAAGCCCCGGGAATAGATGGTATACCAATTGACATATTTCAGTTAACAGATGCTGCCCTGGACATGCTCACCAAGTTGTGGCAAGAAATCTGAAGAACAACCACTTGTCCAACTGACTGGAAGAGGTCCATATTTGTTCCCATCCCAAAGAAGGGTGACCCTACAGAGTGTGGAAACTATAGAATAATATCATTGATTTCACATGCAAGCAAGATCGTACTGAAGGTTATCCAAAAATGACTGGAACAGCACATCAGCAGAGAACTGCCAGAAGTTCAGGCTGGGTTTAGAAGGGGTCGTGGTACTAGGGATATTGTAGCT